CAGATTTGGCCCAAGGGCCATAGTTATCCAACCCCTGTTCTAAAGGATCATGGGGCGCAGAGTTTGGGATACAGACTGAAGGACGGGCAGCAGGGCCGGAAGCCCAGCTAGCAGGCTGTGGTAGAAACGCAGTCATTGGACAAAGCGGCCTCCGTCTAGGTCTCCTGGGGTTCCAGTCTCCCAAAAACTGTCCATCAGCTGTCAGATCCCCTGCAGCCTCACTGAGGCATCGGGCAGAGGCCGGAAGCACCAGATCCTTTGGCTGGTCCTGAACGGTGCTCAGGAAGCGAGAGCTGTCCTCCGGGACCCAGGGTAGGCATCCTCCGTGGTTCCACTCCCATCCGCCTTGTTCTCTGGAAAGGGGACTGTGTGCTGAGGGGTACAGTCACCAGCACTCCCTCCACCCTCCCACCCTCTGCAGTGAACACAGACTCAGGCTCCCCTACGCCCTCCTCCCACTCCTGGACCCTACATGTACCTGCTTCTGGCCGGTCTCCCCCGCCTCCAGCCCTCCCTCCTGCAGAGTGACAGCTTCCCCTCATCTTCACCATCAGGTCCACAGTGCTTGCTCTGCCCTGCCAGACAAAAGCCACCTGCAGACTCTGCCAGGCTGCTCTTCCTCCCGCCTCGCCCCTGCCTTGGCTGCCCTCCCTGCCTCATTCCTCTGTTCACCGAATCACCGCATTTCCTGAACAGAGCACACCCTTCATCCCATGAGGGCTGGCGAGCCTCCCTCCTGCTCGTGACCACCTTTCATCCCCCCCTTTGTGGTCCTCCAGCACCCACTGTCTGCACCGTGCCCTTGGCATTGAGATTCTGCTCTCGTCGTCAGGCAAGTGAGATGGTAACACGGGAAGCAGCTAGCTCGATGCTTGGCACATAGCACGTGCTCGGGAATCATGTCCTAGATCGTGGGTTTGTTGATGTAGGTATCTAATTGGTATAAATCGGGTGTCTGAGCCCTATACAAATGTCCCTCTTTGATCACGCCTATTTCATGTGTAGCCTCTTTCCTGCCTCAGAAAGGTGTTTTGTGAGCTTAATTGATCTGCATGTTAGTTAATGAGTCATTATAGGATCCTGTCTTTAAACAAAGGCCAAAGAGAAGGGGGAGAAAAGAAAGCATCAATACATGGTGCCCTGGGGCCTGTCCCAAAGCTGCAGTGTAATGTGTGTTGTGCCGTCTACTTGGTGTAATTAGCTCCTACGTTGGGGTCAGATGCTCTAAAATGCAGTTTGCAGCAATGGCTGCTCTGACCGGTGATGTGAATCACTTTATGGCTCTGGGTTCTGGCCCGTGAAGCAATGTTTTACCATGACGGACCTAGTAATCACATGCTCTCTCTTTTGGAGGTAGTGTGGTGCACCAGTGCCCTCTGCACCAGGGCTGGCTGGAAGCCGGTGAGAGTGGCGAGAAAGCACAGCCAGGAAGGACCCTTAGTCCCTGCAGAGGCCAGGCTCCGCCTCCTGCAGAAGGCACTGCCAGCCTCGCGGTATTTCATGTGCAGCAAGTGTCTGCTGAGCTACTGGGGTGCAGATAAAGAGCTCAGGGGAGGTTTGAGAGGATAAGTCACGCCCCCCACCTCCTGGACTTGAGACCTTGCTGGGAGACTGCGAGGCAGTCGAGTGGCAGAGAGCCTGGCCTCGGGCGGCCTGGTGAGTCCCAGTTCTACCACTTAGCTGAGTGGTCCTGGGCAAGTTACCTACTGTCTCTGTGCCTGAGCTCTCCCACTTGTAACATGGAGGTATTCGTGATAGCCTTGTCACATTGTAAGTTTTACATGAGTTGATGTATGTAAAGTTCTCAGAACAGAGTCGAGCACATGGTGAGTGTCAGCTCATTCTTGTAGTGAAGAAATCTCACAAGAGAAGACACTCCAAACTGTGATTAAATGTCTCAAAAAATCTTTTAGACCAAGGTCAGCAAACTACTGCCTGTGGGCCAAATCCAGTTTGTTGCTTATCTTTGTAAATAAAGTTTTACTGGAACACAGCCACACCCATTCGTGTACAGATTGTGTATGGCTGCGTTCACTCTACAATAGCAGAGGTGGGTAGTTGCAACAGACATACGGTCTGCATGGGGGAAATACCGACTATCTGGCCCTTTACAGGAACAGGTTGCCAACCTTTGTTCTAGATGATAATTCCTGTGAGGGATCCAAGAGCCTAGCAATCAGTCCATGCTGGAGAACTAGGGAGGGTTTGGAAAATGTTCTCCCATTCAGCATTGTCTGAGCCCCTGGCATGTGGCTGGCAGGCCGACAGGCACTGGCAGTACAGAGGCAGAGGAGCCTGGCCCTGGCCCTCCAGGAAGTGGAGGTATAGTGGAGGACCAGGTAAACAGATCAGTCACAGTACAGCAGGTAAGTGCTGACACAGAGGTGAGAGGAAGCGTCCTCAGAGAAGAGGGCTCAAAAATCAGGAGACATTCCTGAGGAAGCCAGGAGGAGGGGGAGGGATCTGTGCAAATCGCAGTCATGAATGGGCCAACGCGAGGGGGTGCCCAGGAACTCAGTAGCCACCCAGACTGTGTGGTTGGGAGGGCAGCAGGGATTAGATGCCAAGCGCGCCTCCTTGTGTGTCATTCTGTAGGGCGGGACTAAAGGGTAGGAGACGGAAAGGAGCCTGCAGCCTGAGCAGATGGTCTCATAAGGATGACGTTGGCCTTCAGGGATCATGGGAGGCAAGCTTGCCTGTTCAATGAGAAACCCAGAAGGAACATGGCACCCCCCACTTGCTGTTGACAGTTACATTCCATCCCCTTTCCTAAGGTCCCCAACCACTGCCTGCTAAGGCCCACGTCCCCCCTCATCTACACTATTGCTGCAGCCCGGAGATCAGTCTCCTGGTTTTCCATCATCCCTCAGTGCTTCTGCTCCTAAAGCAAAAATCTCATGTCATCCTTTGCTTACAACTCTTCCATAACTCCTCCTGGTCTTATAGGACAAAGCCCAGCTTCTTAGCATGACAGACAGCCCTTCCTAACCTGGCTCCTCCTCCTTCTCGCGCATCATCCCCCCACCCCCACCCCCACCCCTCCTGGCCCCTTGAACAACTCCAGATCCACTAGGACCTCTGGACAAGTCACGCATTCCACACCTTTGCCCGTGTGCCTGCCTTCCCCCTGCCTAGATCACGTTCCCTTTCTTACCCATTTATTGAATGGAGTTCATCTCCCAAACTTAGCCTGGGTTTCCTTCCCTCCAGGAAGCCTGCTTTCGCCTTTCTTGCAGCCAGTGGCACGCACCTCCTCCTCTGTCCTGTCTGTGCTCAGGGACGTTTTTATACAGAGATGCTCCCCTCTGTGAAGCCCGTGCAGTGCAGAGGCCCCGCATAAATGGTACCCAGGCTCATGACTGAGTGCAGAGGAGGCTTACTTCTGAGACACCTGGAGGAACTTTGGGGCAAGGCTCTGCCGGCCCCCAGGCAGTATGCAGGTGCTAGGTTGTTTGGTTTGGACAGAGGAAACCTGCACAACTAGGCAAAACCAGGAGCCCCTTCAGCTTCCCCATGGGGAGACTGCCTGAAGGGCTTCATCACACTGAAACCAGATGGACAGGGACAGAAAGACCCAGGTTAGAAATTAGGAGTGGTGTCTCGTGTGTCTTGTCTTCGTGAGTGACACCACCACCCACCCACCCAGTTGCCCAAGCCAGAAACCTGCAAGTCATCCTAGGTCCCTGTCTGTCCCTCAGTCCCCACATCCCCCCAGTCACAAAGCCCTCAGGATTGCTTGGACCTGTGTCTCTGTTCCATCCCCAATACCCTCCGTCTCTCACCTAGACCACCCAAAACCCTGGAGCCGTCCTCACCCCCCACAGCCTCCCTCCTGCCACATCAGTTTCCACACGAGCAGCCAGGCTGATGTTTTCTCAAAGATGTCTATGTCCCTGTCACCCACTGTTTAAAACTCCTCTATGGCTCCTCCCTCAGGATGATCCCCAAATCTTTGGGGCAGGGTTGTGAGACCCTTTGGGCCTAGCTCCAGGCAAGCTTCTCAAGTTCTGGCCCCTCTTGAGTCACTTCCTTGCACTGAAGGCCCAATCACATTGTTCCCCGCCCCCTCCCCAAGTGAGGCAGCTCACAGGTGTGCTCAGTTTGTGGACTTGCTGTTGACAGACACCGAACACTTGTTCTGGAATGTTGCATGTCTGCCACGGCTCAGGCTTGTGCATCTGACTCCTCGGAATATCCCCTCCGCCTCCCAGCATTCCCCATTGGCCTGCAGAATTCTCAGACCCCACCATCACGAAGAGCCTTCCCTGCCGCTACCTCCCCGGGACAGTGAGCCTTAGGCCTCTCGTGCTCCCCCAGCCCTCACCAGAGTGGCCATTGCCCAGCGTTGTGGTTATCAATGTGCTTTTCTGTCTCCCCTGCTCACCGAGGGCGGGGACCAAGTTGTGCTCAGCGTTGAAACCCCACCTCCTAGACTGGCATATGGTGGGTGCTTAGTAAATATTTGTGGAAGACAGGACCAAAACAAGTTAAGAGAGAAGAATTTTGTCAAAATCTCTTCTTGGAACATTCATTGATTCAACAAATAAGCAAGCAAAGAGGATGGAGAAAAGCAGGCAGAAGAGAGGCTGAGAGATGCCTGTAGGTCCCTGGGGGCAAGGAGGCTGAGATTCCACATGTGGCCTGAAAAATTGCCACCAAGCCCACGGGAGTTTCTGTGCATTAAGGCATGAAGAAAGAGTCTAATCATCTCAGAGTCGGCCAGATGTGCCTGGTGTTGCCATGACAGCCCCCAGAATTAGGCAGATGTGCTGTGAACATCTTTGGAAAACATCAGGGGACCCCAGAGACTGTATGGCCTGGAGAAGAATAGTTCACACTCAGAAAGGTGGCATGGAAATGCTCAGTGGGGATCATGGGTCGTGTGTAGGATGGTGTCACAGGGACTCCGGGCATCCGGACAAAACGAGGAAACTTGTTACTATCCTCGAGTCTCTCCCGGCAGCCCCTGCCTGCCCTCTAATCCCATGCTCCCTCCCTAGGTGATCAAGCTGGCCTTCGAGGAGTTTGATTTGGAGAGGGGCTATGACACCCTGACGGTCGGGGATGGAGGGCAGGACGGGGACCAGAAAACGGTTCTCTACACGTAAGTGCAGCAGAGCGTGTGGTCGGGAGGGTGGGAGCGCACGTACCTTGGCTAAGCATGGTGGGATGGGCTTGGCAGCTCCTACCTGGTCTCCACACCACACTGCGACCAGCACAGTCATCTTGCTCCCGGTTTCAGGGACAATCCCTCCGTCTCTCTCTACTCCAAGGGAAACAGAGCACTGGCCCAAGTTCCCCCTAGGCGTTCCCAGGAAAAGTGTACAAAATGAGCAGTCGCCTGGGGAGCAGGGAAGTAGAGGTTTTGCATGTGTGTCTGGTGCGTACCACCTGGCTGTCTGCTCCTACGCAGACCCTGCTGCTGCCACCCACCAGTTTTTCCTCAAGGCCAAGTATACATCTGTGGCGGTCTGACTTCAGACAGAGACAATAAAAGTGTTTTGCTAACCTCCCTGGGTGGTTTTGGGGAGTTGGGACCACATGGACATAGCAGTCACATTTTCTGAGCCCAGAGAGGCTAGTATGACATGGTCTAGTCAAGGGAGAGGATAATTACCAGCTGTCCTGAAATCCCGTTGTGTTGGGTCTTGGCTCTTGAGGGCCTTTAGGTCCCTTTTGCCCACCACCATGAAGCAGGATAATGGTCTCGTTCAGGGCACATGGCCCAGCTTCATAGAGACAGACAGGCCTGACCTCATCCATCTCCCCTGACAAAAAGAAGAGGGGATTTCACATATGTTGAGCACCTACTATGTGCCCGGGCACTGTGATGGGAACTTTCGTGTCAGTTACCTCTTTTAATTCCCACAACAGCCCGGTGAGGAAGGTGGTATTATCCCCATTTAACAGGTGGGAAAACTGAGGACCAGTGGTTGTAAAATGGTTGGTGGCAGAGCCAGCTCCTGAGTTCATGGCTTTTGATTTCAGTAAAGGACAGCATCCCATGCCGTACCCTCTCCCAGCTAGGCTAGCTCCAGCCAGACATGCTCTGGCTCGAATGATGGATGAAAAGTGCCCATTCAGTAACAGCTGGCTTGTCTAGCAGCTGGTCTATTCTGGGAGCTTCCCACACCTATCTGGAGAAGATCTTGTCATGATGTTACCCCCTGAGTCAGGTGACATGGTTGGGACCTGGGGTCTCTCAGGAGAAAGGAATGGAATGTGAGTCTAAAGGGCATCTACCCCCCATGCCTATTCCACTGTATTAATCAGGGTTCTCTTAGAAGCAGAACCAATAGACTGTATAGAGACAGAAAGAGTTTTATTATAAGGAATTGGCTCACAAGGTTATGGAACCTGACAAGTTCCAAGATCTGCAGGGTAAGTCAGCAAGCTGGAGACCCAGGGGAGTGACAGTGTAGTTCTAGTGTGAAGGCCGGAGGCTCAGGGCCCAGGAAGAGCTGATGGCTCAGTTCAAGTCCAAGGCAGGGGAAGAAAAAAAAAAAAAAAGCCAACGTTCCAGCTCGAATGCAGGCAGGCAGGCAGGCAGGAAGAATTCTCAGCCTTCGGTTCATTTCAGGCCTTCAGCTGATTGGATGAGGCCCACCCACATTGGGGAGGGCAATCTGCTTACTCACTCTACCAATGTAAGTGTTCATCTCGCCCAGAAATATCCAAAAACACAGACACACCCTGAATAATGTTTGTCCAGATAGCTGGGCATTCCAGGGCCTTGGCAAGTTGACAACATCAACTTAACCATCACACCCACCTCTCCCCTCCCCTTGTGGCATCCCCGTCACTCACCTGCCCTGGTTTGCTCACCTGGATGGTGCATCAGCTCAGTGTGCCCATGAGGCCAGGATCCCACCTTTATTTCCTCCCATAACCCCAGGGTGCTTTGCCATAGAGAGATCCTTAGAACAGCAGAACTGAAAAGACTCTTAGGGATCATATAATTCAATCCCCTCGTTGAACATGGAGTGAAAAGGCCCAGGTAGGCTCAGCCACTTCCCAGCAAAGAATGGCATAGCCCAGGCTGGAACCCAGGTTCTCTGGACCGTCTAGTGTGAGTGAACTCCCAACAAGCTCTGTAGCAGCCCAGGGGCCCTCTCACCTCCCCCAGGTCTCTTTAGGCCAATATCAGCCTCATATCTTCAGGGAAACACATGCCAAGTGGTCGGGCTCTTTGTTGTCCTAATTGGGTCAAACAGGAAAAACAGAGGCTTTCGCTTTCTGCCTTGCTCACTGCCACCCTGGAGTCAGGGGCCACTCTGGCCTGGCCTTAGTCCTTACCTGTTAGAGAATATCAGAGCCCCTAGCCCAGAAATGTCACACGGGTCAGGCTAATGCACCCACTTTGTACCTGTCTTCTCATCTGTACAATGGTGATAACACAATCCCAACCTCACTGAGCTCCTTGGAGCATTAAGTGAGATAATGAATGGGAGTTGTCTCGCTTGGGTAGGTGTCTGGTAAATGTGGGTTGAACCAGAAGTTTCTCTGAGCTCAAACTCTCTTTTTCAGAAAAAAATGGCCCTGAGGTAACAGCTGCTCTTTAAGCCTCACCTCTCCTACTGGAACAGGAAGAGATGTCTCATTGAGACGAATGGCTGAGTCCCAACCAGGGAAATGGGTTTCTGCCTATGTCTTTTATGCAGTACAGTTCACACAAGAGATGGAGGGTTGCAGGGGTGTAGACACCCCTCGATTAGATCTGGTTCCAGCTAGCCCTGTCCCCTGAGCAGGCGGATCTCCCTTGGAGTCCAGGGGTCTGGGCGAGGGAGTCGCAGTTGAGTTCAGGCTCTGCCCGTGGCCGAGGCGGGAGGTGCTGAGTCTCCCAGCACGCAGGGCACACTCTCCTTGGCTCCAGTGTCAGAAACACCACGGGGCTCAGAATTTGCCTGAATGGGCCTGGCCCCTAGATACTCCTTTAGATGTCGTCAGTCCGGCAGTCATTCTGTTGGGGTGCCAGGACTGGGTGCACGCCTCTCAATCTCTCTCTCCTGACAGCCTGACAGGTACGTCAGTTCCGGATCTCATTGTCAGCACCAACCATCAGATGTGGCTCCTGTTCCAGACCGACAGCAGCGGCAGCTCCCTGGGATTCAAGGCCTCTTACGAAGGTAACTGCTCTTGGGAGGCTGATAAACTGGAATCAGATACTTGGGGTCTGGATTGGGAGTCAGCGAGCCCTGGATTCGCATCCTGGTTCTGCTCTGCACGAGCTGTCTCTCCTTAGGCACATTGGAGTGCTTGACCTCTCTGAGCCCCAGCCTCCTTCTGTGTCCAGTGGGTCTCCTGGGTTGTGATTATCTGGGCAAATCACTTAAAATGCTAGACACACAGCACCAGGCACAACCCCAGTTCCATCCCCAATTCATACATGGCGTGTAGAGGTCTTTAAGGGGCCCCGTAAACTTTCTGAGCCTCCTTTATTTTCTATCTTTAGACTGGAGATAGTAGCTTCCCCAGCTGCCCTTTTGGGGTGTCCTAGTGATGAATGACTGGGTGCACAAGGTGAGAGACAGACCCCAGGAGGATCAGACGACAGTGACCTTCATTCCTTGGTGGGAACAGGCATGAAAGGAATGGTAGACTCTGGGGCCCAAGAGATACCACCCTTGTCATCCTTCTGTGCACTTCCATACCTTCTGTTGAACAGCGACTGCTAATGCTGATCCCCACAAAAGGGGAGCAGAGGCCATCCCCCAAGTATCCGTCAAGGCCCCATTAGGTATCAGACCCTAGACCAGCCCTAGGGAACAGATCCTCAGACCCAGGTCCTCGCCGCAAGGGACCGGCACTCCAGCAGTGAGACAGGAGGAAACAGATGAGCGATGACAGGAAGGGAGGGTGCAGCCACCAGAGCCAGTGGGAGCACAGAGGACGGCCATCCTTTCTGGGGCATCGGGAAAGGCCTTATCAAGAAAGGGGGCCTTAGCCTTTAAAATGACACCGCAGCTGCTAGAAAGATAAGAAGGAGAGGAGGAGGAAGAGAAGCTACCCTTCCCCCACCCCCACTCAGAGACCTGCCCGTTCCACAGGAGACTTTGTAGAGGGAGCAGCTCCAAAGGACTCTTATCCTGTTTCGTGTGTTTCACGGCACCACTGGTCTAAAGGTTCTTCCTGTCCCAGGCCCTGTACTCTGTGTGTAAACTGGGCACACAGGACGTGTATGAGTCCCCTTGGACTGCCCTAACAAAGCACCACACAAGGGATGGCTTAGAACCACAGAAATTTATTCTCTCATAGACCTAGAGGCTCCAAGTCCGACTCAAGGTGTCAGCAGGGCCACACTCCCGCTGAGACTCTGGGTAGAATCCTTCCTTGCCTCTTCCTAGTTTCCATGGCGATCCTTCCAGCAATCTTTGGCATTCTTTAGCTGGTAGCTGCAGCACTTCAGTCTGCATCCGTTGTCACATCCCTGTGTGTCTCTCTCCCCTTCTTATAAGGACACCAGTCATAGTGGATGAAGGGCCCAACCGACTCCAGTGTGAGCTCATCTTAAACTTGGTTTCCTCTGCAATGACCCTATCTCCAAACAAAGTCACATTCATAGGTACCAGGGGTTAGGGTTTCAACCTATCTTTTAGGAAAACACGTCAACCCATAACAGGAAGCCAGCCCATATTTCCTGTATTAACACTGTCGTGCCACAATGCCCAGTGGGGTAAGGACAGTGTTCTAAGAATAGGAAGCATGTGTCTAAGTGAGACAGAACAGGCAGAGAACACCTACTGGGGACAAGTGCTGAGTTCAAATCCTGGGCCTGTCACTTCCTAGCTTCCTGGTAAGCCAGGGAGTCTCTTTAGGGCTTGGTTTCTTCCCCTGTGAAATGGAGATAATAATATAACCTAGATCACAGGGCTACTATAAAGATTAAGTTTAGGGAAAGACTGTGGAAAGAAGTGTTGCAAACAGCAAAGCAATGAGTAACTGGGTGCGTACATAGGTAGAGGTACGGGCTCTTCCGGTACAAAAAATTACACACAAGTGGCTGTGGGGCGATGTAAAGAGCACCAGATGAGAAATCAGGAAATTCTGAGTTAGGTCCAGGCTCTGACACTCGCGACTTTGAGAATGGGAATGGAGTTGGACTTGCAGATTCTCAGGTTTCCCCATTTCTGGACTTCCATGGGCGTTCAGCAGTGGATGTTTCCAAAAACGGGGAGGAGTGATCCTGTGTCACCCACAAGCCCTTCATCTGTCCACACTTTACCAGTGGTTCGGATAAGACATACGTCACATGAGCCTGAAAGGGATGCCAGCACACCAGTTAGCATGCAGAAAGACCTCGATGGGAGAGGGCTACGGACTCAATTACCAGGCGCAGATGAAGTGGGAGTCAATACCCAGTCTGTTTCAAGGTTCAAAAAATTAGCTACTAGAATTTATCCCAGGGAGTTAGTGTGCGTCATTCTGTTCTGATCGGGCATCCGAGAACTGAGCGTAGATGTGGGGACCTCAGCTTGAGACAGATAAGAGGAGGACAAAAGTCCAGCCCAGTGAGAAAGGTTAACAATCTCCCGAAGGTTTATTAGGGGGAAAGGTGGACTCAGGAAAGACTTGAGAACTGCGGGCAAATAGTCAAAGGGTTGTTATGTGGGAAAGAGGAATCGGCCTTGTTTGGTGTGATTTCATTGGCAAAGAAAGGGACATACTTTTGCTGAGGGCCTACTATGTGCCAGAACCTTTATGTTCATTATCTTGGGATTTTCAGTAAAAGACTAAGGGTACCCGCAGGGACCACCACGGTGGGATAGGGGACACCGAGCAGGGAGTCTGACCCTGCCTCCATTTCTCCTCTGTCCTGCTCTATTCTTTATAAGGCTTCTTTTAAGAGGGAATTGATAACTAAACACTGGTTTGAAAAGCACTGCTCCATCTCCTTCAGTGCTCACAGCTAGATGACGGCTGCTCTTTTGCACATGAGGGATTAGAGACTCAGAAGGGTGAAGTTCCCTGCCTAGGTCACACAAGTCTCGGGACTTGGCAGAGCCGAGATTCGGCCCCATGTCTCTTTGGCTTCAAAGCCTATGCGTTCCTCCCTATGCTGAGAACCTCCCAAAGTGACAGAATTTCAATTCCTAGAAAACCTTCGTAGAAGCCAAAGCTTGCCCCAATCAAAGGGGCCATATATCATAGGCCCGGATTCCTTGTTTCTAGAGGCTGGGGTTTTGTTCATTGGTTCTTGTCCATTTCTGTCAGCCAGTATGGATTCATCTCCTGTGCTACACTGGGCGCTGGGGTTACAATAACAAGCCACTTAGATGCGGTCTGAAAACGAACACTGTGTGACGGCTGGGCACAGACTAGGTGTCGCAAGACACCTCCTTGGACCCATACCAAATTAGGAAGGGAGTCTGGGTGTTTGGAGATGTCACTGACCCGCAGGGACTGCCTAGGTCCTGCGCACAGAGGCAGCAGGCTCTGTGAAGATAGGATGGACTGTGCCGTGGAATCCCACCTGGTAAATCCCAGCTTGGTCCCAGCTGTGTGACCTTGGGCCTCTCTGAGCCTCAACTCCCCACTCGTAAAATGAAGATAATAATGCTGACGTTATAGGAGTATTGTCCAGAAAGTGAAGCGAGGTCACAGAAAGCTCCTTGCACGGCGCCCAGCATAGAGGCGCCTTCCGCTAGGGGCCGCTAAAGTTCTTCTCCACCCAAACCTTCCATGATTACCACCGGTCTCCACCTGGCGCGTCATCCTCCACTGGCAAGCTTGTGGCTCCATGCCTGTCCTCTCGGTGGCCTGTGCTGGCTCGAATGGACTCTGGTTCTAGATCCTTGCCCCACACTTGCAGTCCTCACCCGGGGCCCTCACTCCGCAGACTGGCTGAGCAATGAGGTGGTTCACTGTGGCCACAGCGTCCGGTGTGGAGGCAGAAATGGCAGAAGGCAGATCCAGGTCACGGGGAGCCCTGAGGCCTCATAAAGAGTTTGCACCTCGTCCAGCAGGAAGAAGGATCAAATGTGGGGATGGCCCTTACCTTTTCCTTCTTGTCCCTCCCACCTTTGAGCTTTTATTTGAGGAGTGAAACCCCTCAGTCTGACTCCTTCATGGTGAGGAGCCTTCTCTCCTGTAAGAAAGGAGGGCAATTGAGGTCCCTGGCATCTGACGTGACCGCGGCCCTTCCCATGCTGCTCTCTGGGCTGCTGTCACCTGCAGCCTCCTGGTTCTCCTCCACTGCTCTGGCCGCTCTCTGACAGCTCCTGCCTGGTTCCTCCCTGCCCTCCAGGGCAGGCACTTCTCAGAGTCTGTCCACAGCCTTCTTCCTCTTTTTCTAGAACCTTCCACAGTTGATCACATCCACTCTCATGGCTTCAACCTCAACCTACACACAGGTGACTTCCAAATCTGTTCCCCACTTGCATTTCAGTGCACCCGTGACACATTGTATATAGCTTTCCCCTCAGGCATCCCAAACCCAGCTCACCTGTATTGGTCTGCTCAGGCTCCCATGACAATACCATAGTCTGGGTGGCTTACCCAGAAATTCATTTTCTCATAATTCTAGGCTAGAAGTCCAAGATTAAGTTTCCATCCGATTCAGTTTTTGGCCTAGACTCTCTTCCTGGCTTGCAGACAGCTGCCTTCTCACATGGCCTTTACTCAGTGTACGCACAGAGAGACAGAGAGAGAGAGAGAGAGAGAGAGAGAGGGAGCATGCTCTGGTTTATATTCTGTAGATCAGGACCCCGGCCTTATGACTTCTTTTAACCTTTATGACTTCCTTAGAGGCCCCATCTCCAAATACAGCCACCCTGGGAACTGGGGCTTCAACATATGAATTTGGGGGGACACAAACATTTGGCCCATAACACCATGGAAAACCAAATTCTTCATCTCCACCCCAACGCCCCTGACCCCACCTTGAAGAACATTCCCGCCATCCATACCTTCCCTTGGCCTCAGCTCCCCCTCTGCTGTCTCCCTCTCCACCTCTGACCCTGACCCCAGATTCTGTCGTCCTCCTCCTGTGACCGCGTCTCCTCTGTCATTGCCATGGCGGAGGCCCTCATTGCCTCACTTAAATGACAGCAGTCCTCGTACCCTGACTCCAGCCCTCTCCCCCACCTCCTCACCCATCTGCCACATGCAGCACAGCCATCTTCCCAGA